CCGGGAGGCCTGGTCATGGACCGGGCCGCGGGGGCGTTGATCCCCGGAATAACCTCTAGGTAACCTCCAGATATGGCACTAGCAACAGCCTGGTTGACCAGGTCAGCACCAGACGAACCTGATCCATGGCCGGGTTCCTAGGATAGGAAGTCTCACGGAACTCTTCAAGTGATAGCTGTACCCAGGTGTAAATCCACCTCAAGACTGACAGAACCTTAGGTGGAGACCAGGACCTGCCTCGCATGGATCAGTAGAGCTTCTGCAGTGCTCCTTCTTTCTTATGTTCTTATGTAATGTTTGTTGCTTCCTATGTGCGATTGTATCCAGACAAATGACATACGAAATCCATTATACTGAACGCTTGTGAGAGAATTTTTAGTGTCTATTATGAAGGTTCTGGTGTTTATTTCTAAGCTGGGATCTGAAGTGCTTGAAGTCCAGACTTGTAGTCACGGAAGAGGATCCTTCAGTCACGGAAGAGGATCCTTCAGTCACAGAAGAGGATCCTTCAGTCACAGAAGAGGATCCTTCAGTCACAGAAGAGGATCCTTCAGTCACAGAAGAGGATCCTTCAGTCACAGAAGAGGATCCTTCAGTCACAGAAGAGGATCCTCCAGTCACGGAAGAGGATCCTTCAGTCACAGAAGAGGATCCTCCAGTCACGGAAGAGGATCCATGAAAAGCAGACTGGCAGTCACATGAAAGTATCTTACCTTAACGCAGTTGTTGATGGTGGGAGAGGCAGTGTGTTGGGAGATGATGGTGGGAGAGGCAGTGTGTTGGGAGATGTTGGTGGGAGAGGCAGTGTGTTGGGAGATGTTGGTGGGAGAGGCAGTGTGTTGGGAGATGATGATGGAAGAGGCAGTGTGTTGGGAGAGGCAGTATGTTGGGAGATGATGGTGGGAGAGGCAGTGTGTTGGGAGATGATGGTGGAAGAGACAGTGTGTTGGGAGATGTTGGTGGAAGAGGCAGTGTGTTGGGAGATGATGGTGGAAGAGGCAGTGTGTTGGGAGATGTTGGTGGGAGAGACAGTGTGTTGGGAGATGATGGTGGGAGAGGCAATGTGTTGGGAGGTGAAGGTGGGAGAGACAGTGTGTTGGGAGATGATGGTGGAAGAGGCAGTGTGTTGGGAGATGTTGGTGGGAGAGACAGTGTGTTGGGAGATGATGGTGGGAGAGGCAATGTGTTGGGAGGTGAAGGTGGGAGAGACAGTGTGTTGGGAGATGATGGTGGGAGAGGCAATGTGTTGGGAGGTGAAGGTGGGAGAGACAGTGTGTTGGGAGATGATGGTGGGAGAGGCAGTGTGTTGGGAGATGATGGTGGGAGAGACAGTGTGTTGGGAGATGATGGTGGGAGAGGCAGTGTGTTGGGAGATGATGGTGGGAGAGGCAGTGTGTTGGGAGATGATGGTGGGAGAGGCAGTGTGTTGGGAGGTGGTGATCGAAGGGGCAGTGGGTTGGGTGATGGTGGAGGCAATAGGGAGAGGAGCTGTGAGGCCGTGGGTAGGGAAATGGTGGGGGTTTTGGGCAGAGAAGTGGTGGTTGGGGCACTGGTGGTGATTTATGGAGAGGGAGAGAGAGAGAGAGGGGGGGGGGTTACTAAGCCGTGACCCAAGTAACCTCTAGTCTGTCTCTGGTCTCTACTACTACTACTACTACTACTACTACTACTACTACTACTACTACTACGACCACCACCATTACTTCTACAATGCTCCACTCATCTACTCCATACTATACATCTACTACACTCTGCCGCTGCTCCACACAACTACGGCACACCACTTCCAGGGGTGAAAGAGAGAAAGTTTCAGGCTTGATCAACCAGGCTGTTACTGTTGGACGCACGCAGTCCAGCGTACGAACCTAATCCCCACTGATCAGGAACTAACTTGAGCAATTGTTACGATCCTTCTCGAGGACAACAAGATGTAAGATGGAAGACTGCTGAACAGTCTTGGGCCCCTTACACTTATTGTGTAAGGGGGGGGGTCACCCATGTTTCTCATTGGGTGCATTTTGTACCGTCTGTCAAGTCTTTTGCTTTCGTAGGGAGTGATTTCTGTGTGCAGGTTTGGCTCCAGTCCCTCTATGATTTTCTAGGTGTAAATTACGATGCATCTTTCTCGCCTGCGACACGGTCCCAGACCAGGCTTCCTGGTTGCTGGCCCTGATCCATCAAGCTGTTAGTGCCCGCCTTCCGTGGTCTAAATTATCCACCACAGCCCGGCTGATCAGGAACTGTTTTCAAGAATCTGTTGAGTTTCCTCTTGAAGACAGCTAGGAGTTTATTAGTGATATTTCTTATGTAAGGTAAGGTGATGAATAGTCGTGGGCCCCTGACATTCACACATGAGGAATATTGAAGAGTAGGATAACGTCCCATTTTTTGGTCTTATTAGATTATGACTGTTGGTGGGTATTACAGATTTCTGTCCTTATCGTACCTACTCTGAAACTGTGTGTGGAGTTTGTTGACAGATTCCTCGTTGAACTTGTTCTGTTTCCCTGAGAGACAGAGAGAGAGAGAGAGAGAGAGAGAGAGAGAGAAATAGAGAGAGAGAAATAGGGGATGGGTTGTGGGGTGGTGGCCAGGGCTAGGTTAGGGTGGGATCTCAAGGGATAAATAATGTGGTCCGGTTGTTGACCTCCATCCCCTGGACCACGCCCACCACCGCCCACCCTCCCGTGAACCGCCCACCCATCCCATCACCCACCCACTGTCATCCATCACACTCCCACTGCCACCCATCACACTCCCACTGCCACCCATCACACTTCCCTTGCCACCCATTTGCGGATGATACTAGGATCTGCATGAGGCTGTCATCTGCTGAGGACGCGGTTAACCTCCAAGAAGATATAAACAAAGTTTTCCAGTGGGCAACGGTAAACAATATGATGTTCAATGAGGACAAATTCCAACTACTCCGTTATGGAAAACTGGAGGAGATAATAACTAGAACAGAGTATACTACTGACTCCGGCCATACAATAGAGCGGAAAAATAATGTAAGGGACCTGGGAGTAGTAATGTCTGAGGATCTCACTTTCAAGGATCACAACAGTGCCACGATCACACGTGCAAAGAAAATGATAGGATGGATAATGAGAACTTTCAAAACGAGAGATGCCAAGCCCATGATGATCCTTTTCAAATCACTTGTTCTCTCTAGGCTGGAATACTGCTGTACATTAACATCTCCATTCAAAGCAGGTGAAATCGCAGATCTAGAGAGTGTACAGAGATCCTTTACTGCACGTATAAGTTCTGTCAAGCACCTTAACTACTGGGAACGCTTGGAAGCACTTGACTTGTACTCGTTGGAACGCAGGAGGGAGAGATATATCATAATCTACACTTGGAAAATCTTGGAAGGAATGGCCCCAAATCTGCACACAGAAATCACTCCCTACGAAAGTAAAAGACTGGGCAGGCGATGCAAAATGCCCCCAATAAAAAGTAGGGGCGCCATTGGTACACTAAGAGAAAACACCATAAGTGTCTGGGTCCCAAAACTGTTTAACAGCCTCCCATCAAGCATTAGGGGAATTGCCAATAAACCCCTGGCTGCCTTCAAGAGAGAGCTGGACAGATACCTAAAGTCAGTGCCGGATCAGCCGGGCTGTGGCTCGTACGTTGGACTGCGTGCGGCCAGCAGTAACAGCCTAGTTGATCAGGCCCTGATCCATCGGGAGGCCTGGTCATGGACCGGGCCGCGGGGGCGTTGATCCCCGGAATAACCTTCAGGTAACCTCCAGGTAACCCATCACACTCCCACTGCCACCCATCACGCTCCCACTGCCACCTATCACACTCCCACTGCCACCCATCACCCTCCCACACCCTCCTCTACACACTGCAGTCACTCCCTAGACTGGGTAGATGGTGCAGCGCCCCCCCCCTCCCACGAAACACAGGGGCGCCGTGAGTACACTAACAGAGAACACAATAAGTGTGCGGGGCCCAAGACTGTTCAACTGCCTCCCACCAGTCATAAGGGGAATTACCAATAGACTCCTGGTTGTCTTCAAGAGGGAGCTGGACAGATACCTAAAGTCGGTACTTGATCAGCCTGACTGTGGTTCGTACTTTGGACAACGTGCGGCCAGCAGTAACAGCCTGGTTGATCAAGTCCTGACCCACCGCGAGGCCTAGTCATGGACCGGGGCGTTGATACCATTACTTTTGATGAGTTTCGGGAGTCTCTCTCTACTCTTGAAGCCCGGCCATGGGCCAGGCTCGTCTGGTGCTTGCCTGGTCAATCAGGCTGTTGCTGCTGGAGGCCCGTTGCCCCACATATCCATCACAGCCTGGCTGATCCGGCACTTGGTGACACTTGGGTATCTTTATTGTGAAATGTTTCGCCACGCAGTGACTTCATCAGTCCCATACAGAGGGGAAGTGCGAAGATCAGAAGGAGTTTGAGGTGATCCGTCCCTCAGCCTGGAGTCAGTGTAACGCCACTCTGGGGCGAAACGTTGAGTACTTTTGTAATTTATTGTATGAGTTGCTGGACCGACCAATGACTTCACCAGTTCAGTGGAAAAATATAACACTGTAGACGGTGCCAGATCAACCAGACTGTGATGGATATGTGGGGCAGAGGGCCACCAGCAGCAACAACCTGGTTGACCAGGCTAGCACCAGACGTGCCGGACCATGACCGGGCTCCCAGAGTAGAAAAACTCATACTGAACCTTGTATATGGGACCTCGTATACGGGAACTCGTATACGGGAACTCGTATACGGGAACTCGCTCTCATCTTCTGTAAAACCTCGGGTATTAAGCCGGGTATCAGTCCTGACAGACTGATACCCGGCTTAATGGAGGTGAGAATCTCCAGTCTTGAAGTTGTATCCGGTGTTACGGTGTTTGACTAACACGGTGTTTGACTAACACGGTGTTTGACTAACACGGTTCTTGACTAACACGGTTCTTGACTAACACGGTTCTTGACTAACACGGTTCTTGACTAACACGGTTCTTGCTTTCCAGGGAGACTGTGACCGAGGAGAACAACAACAACAACAGCGCCACTAACAACAACACGGGCAGCAGCGGCATCAAGTCCAGATACAGACGGGGCACAGTCAGTGGTATCATCGGTGGCACTCTGGCCAGCTCCCTGGGCACTACTAATGTCACTGGTGGCACCCGCAGGACCTCAGTCTCCGTTAAGAGACCGCTGGACATCATTCTCCCTTGCCAGGAGATCCAGTACCTTGATATCTCCTACCAGAAGGTGAATACCCGTTGATAGTTCCAGGGGTCACTGCCCCCCCAGTACCAGACTCAGAACCGGTTCAAAACATGATCAACTAGGCTGTTAATCATTCAATCTTAGCCTTGATATCACAGACTGTGGGATCAGCCTTGATATCACAGACTGTGGGATCGACCTTGATATCACAGACTGTGGGATCAACCTTGATATCACAGACTGTGTGATCAACCTTGACATCACAGACTGTGGGATCGACCTTGATATCACAGACTGTGGGATCAACCTTGATATCACAGACTGTGGGATCAACCTTGATATCACAGACTGTGGGATCAACCTTGATATCACAGACTGTGGGATCAACCTTGATATCACAGACTGTGGGATCAACCTTGATATCACAGACTGTGGGATCAACCTTGATATCACAGACTGTGGGATCAACCTTGATATCACAGACTGTGGGATCAACCTTGATATCACAGACTGTGGGATCAACATTGATCTCACAGACTGTGGGATCAACATTGATCTCACAGACTGTGGGATCAACATTGATATCACAGACTGTGGGATCAACCTTGATCTCACAGACTGTGGGATCAACCTTGATCTCACAGACTGTGGGATCAATAATAATCTCACTGTGAGAAACTTAACGAAATTAACTTAACAACGCTAAAATATCGGAGTACCGGGGAGACATGATCAGGGCATATCAAATACTAATGGAGGTGGATAGAGTGAATAGTGACAAGTTGAGTTGCCAGGAGAAGGAACCAAGGTACATAGTAGACAAAGCTACAACCGAGCCATAGTTATGTTAGGAAGTACTTTTACAGCATAAAGGGATCGAAGTAAAAGAAGAAGTTGGAAAAGGAAACACCTTACACTGCTTCACGAGCAGGTATGACAGGACCACAACACAGCACAACGATAACCTAGTTTCTCTGGTCTCCCACAGGTCCAGTATAGTCCTATCCCTCGCAAGAAGATCGCGTACCACCATGTGCCATACAATTCTATCCCTTACTGTGAGGTGCCATACTGTGGCACTGGTGAGCGCCCCATCAAGCGGAAGCCCTTACAGCGTGCTCACTCCATCGCTGTGGCTGACCTTAGAGAGCCAGAAGGCTGTGAGTGGTCGTCATACAAACTAAGGTGAGTCGGGTCTCTGGTGGTAGTCTGGCTTTGACTTCCAGTGGTCATCACCGTCACCTGGGAGGGGGATGTCTAAGACCCAAGCCTCCTGGTTGATGACCTGATCAGTCAGGCTGTTGGTGCTAGCAGCACAGGGTTCACTGTAGGTTTGACAGCTTGGTTGATGAGAAAGTAGCTTCAGGAACCTCTGAAGCTTCCTGGTCAAGACTGGCCTGAGGAACTAGGCAAGCTACATTAAGACAGGTATCACATAAACACTCACTTAACATCTTCCAGAATCTCTCTCTGCACTCTTCTTGACCAGGTACATTATACTTGTTATTACCCACGTCTCATATCCCACCCTTATCTTAACCCTTTCACTGCCCGTCACGTAGAACTACATTATATTTCTGTTCTCCCACAGTGTACTTCTGTTCTCTCAGTGTACTTCTGTTCTCTCAGTGTACTTCTGTTCTCTCAGTGTACTTCTGTTCTCTCAGTGTACTTCTGTTCTCTCAGTGTACTTCTGTTCTCTCAGTGTACTTCTGTTCTCTCAGTGTACTTCTGTTCTCTCAGTGTACTTCTGTTCTCTCAGTGTACTTCTGTTCTCTCAGTGTACTTCTGTTCTCTCAGTGTACTTCTGTTCTCTCAGTGTACTTCTGTTCTCTCAGTGTACTTCTGTTCTCTCAGTGTACTTCTGTTCTCTCAGTGTACTTCTGTTCTCTCAGTGTACTTCTGTTCTCTCAGTGTACTTCTGTTCTCTCAGTGTACTTCTGTTCTCTCAGTGTACTACTGTTCTCTCAGTGTACTTCTGTTCTCTCAGTGTACTACTGTTCTCTCAGTGTACTTCTGTTCTCTCAGTGTACTACTGTTCTCTCAGTGTACTTCTGTTCTCTCAGTGTACTTCTGTTCTCTCAGTGTACTTCTGTTCTCTCAGTGTACTTCTGTTCTTTTAGTGTACTTCTGTTCTTTTAGTGTACTACTGTTCTCTCAGTGTACTTCTGTTCTCTCAGTGTACTTCTGTTCTCTCAGTGTATTTCTGTTCTCTCAGTGTATTTCTGTTCTTTTAGTGTACTTCTGTTCTTTTAGTGTACTACTGTTCTTTCAGTGTACTTCTGTTCTCTCAGTGTACTTCTGTTCTCTCACAGTGTACTTCTGTTCTCTCAGTGTACTACTGTTCTCTCAGTGTACTTCTGTTCTCTCAGTGTACTACTGTTCTCTCAGTGTACTTCTGTTCTCTCAGTGTACTTCTGTTCTCTCAGTGTACTTCTGTTCTCTCAGTGTACTTCTGTTCTCTCAGTGTACTTCTGTTCTCTCAGTGTACTACTGTTCTCTCAGTGTACTTCTGTTCTCTCAGTGTACTTCTGTTCTTTTAGTGTACTACTGTTCTCTCAGTGTACTTCTGTTCTTTTAGTGTACTACTGTTCTCTCAGTGTACCTCTGTTCTCTCAGTGTACTTCTGTTCTTTTAGTGTACTACTGTTCTCTCAATGTACTTCTGTTCTCTCAGTGTACTTCTGTTCTCTCAGTGTACTTCTGTTCTTTTAGTGTACTACTGTTCTCTCAGTGTACTTCTGTTCTCTCAGTGTACTTCTGTTCTCCCACAGTGAACTGAATCTAGCATTAGTCTCACACCTAGACGTCAGACATGATGTGTTGTCAAACACTGAGAACAATCAGTTAGGTTCTCAATATAATTGTTACTTATATACAGGTAAGTGTTCACACAGGTCATTACCTGAAAATTAATTAGTAATTAAGAGGGAAGATTCGTCATATTAGCTGGGACAAATATGAAGAATTTGAAGTCGAGAGCTATACCTCAGCCCACCACACTCCCTACTTAGTCCCCACACACTCTCCTAAGCCCCCACACTCATTAACACACACATTAATAGTTTTAATAGAGGGGAGCCAAAAGCCATGATCATACCTGTGAATGATGTGAAGGGATGATTAGATTTAGAACCTGTCAGCTACACGAGAGCCATTAAGGCTGCATGTCACCTGTTCCTCACCAGTCAGGAATAGTGTGATCCCTAAAATGTGGATATAAGTAAACTTTCTGTATACTTAGAGTATACTTGGACTATACCTGAAGGGTATCCCACAGCCTGGTCTGTGACCAGGCCTCATGGTGGATCAGGGCTTGATCAACCAAGCTTGATTCTTGTAGGAACTTTATGGTCTCGTGGGTTAGCGTCGTGGAATTTTTGCTTACCATGAGGCGGGCTGAAACAACACGGGTTCGAATCCTCGGCTAGTCGCAGTGTTGTTTTGATTAAATACCACTTGTTTATGGTTACAATAATACATTATAATATATATATATATATATATATATATATATATATATATATATATATATATATATATATATATAATATATATATATATTATATATATATATATATATATATATTATGGATGCAAGATGCAAAACAACCATTGGAAGGGGGAGTTGGATGATAGCTCTAGGCCTTTCGTGTTCCAATCAACACATCAAGAGCTTGTAATGTTGCAGAAATGAGTAGGAAGTACACGTAGATTCGTTCAGGTGGAAAGTTTTAGCTTCGAGCTGCAGCGTTACAAGCTTCTGATGATGTGCTGATTACAACATGAAATGCCTAGAGCCATCGCTCAACTCCTCCTGTGGTTGTCTTGTGTGTATATATATATATATATATATATATATATATATATATATATATATATATAATATATATATATATATATATATACTGAGAGCAAAACCAAATTGACCTGCTCAAAGACCCCCTCCAGGTCTTAAGACATATCACAAAATCAATCAGTTTAAAGACTAGAAATTTGTATTGTAGTCTTTGATGCTTGTGGCTAATATGTATTTTTGTTTTCTACTACAGGTGAAGCAGTGTGAATGACCTATAAAGGCGGTCTTAGTGGCAAGAATCTGGAGCACGACCTCGAAGGAGGAGGTGCAAGATGATCTTGGGAATCTCTGGTCCAGATGCTCTCATGTTCTTGACTGTGAAAGCCTCTCCCTGAGGCCAGGAGCTGGAGGTTGACGTTCCACACCGGCGTCTACTGGTGCATCAGTGGAGGCCACGTGTCAGGGAACTTAAGAAAGTACAGAGTGAGACGAAGTGCAGAGCAGCTCACACACACACAGTTACAACTTGTGTCAGTGACTAACACACAAGTCTCGTGTACTCGCACTGAATCTGAGATCATCTGGACGATGCTTCAGCTGAATCTGGGATCATCTGGATGATGCTTCAGCTGAATCTGGGATCACCTGGACGATGCTTCAGCTGGAACCCCTAAGACAGTGACGGTGGTTATTCTGTCTGGTGCTTAAAAGGCACATAAATTCCCCTGTCTTCCAATAACATGTTCATTTTTCCACTATAATCTACCTTGTCCATAATTACCGTCACATTTACTTTGTCTGTTTCGTAAGGTAAAGTCCAGGATCTTTCCTTAATTCATGGTATAACTTAACAAATCTTTAAGGTCAGTTGTGTTGCAGAGGTCTCAGACCTCAAAGATTTTTTTGTTAAGTTATACCATGAACAAAGGAAAGATCCTGGACTTCACATTACGAAACAGACAAAGCAAATATGACATAATTATGTACAAGGTAGATTATAGTGGAAAAATGAATCTGTTATTAGAAGACAGTGGAACTTACATGCCCCTTAAAATATATATTAGTGAGAAAAACTCAATGACCAAGAAGTGTGCTTATTGTCCCAAGCAAGTGACACATAGATCAATTTTCATTTTTTTTTTTTTTTGTAAACACTTATGCATTATTTTTGCATCAGCGAAGTGAAAATTATATAGACACGTGCACGCTTACCGCTTCTCCATGAACTGAGAGACATAAACCCAAGAGTATTAGTTTTATATGAAATAAATGAGTGATTCACAGTGCTATAAGTAGGATTTATATGTGTGAATGGTATCCAGTTTGGACCTCTATGTGTTTATATGTGTGCATGCTATTTGTATAGACCATCTGTGTATAGGAAACTTTCTTATTTTGTACACTTGGCAAGTTGTTTTTCACTTTTATATTTTTTCAACTTGTGAATTTATTTTATGATTTACCATTGAGTCCTTTGTTCGTGTTTCAGTGTCCATACTCTCTCTTTGTGATGTGTTCCATCAAGTCTCAGTTTGTCTGCATGAAGACAGCCATGTTTGTGTGTGTGTGTCTATCTGTCTATGTCTGTGTTCCGACGGCTGTTTCATACAGATTTGTGTCAAATATTTCTCACACCAGAGGTGTTTCTGTGTCACAGTCACCACTCTAGTGTGTTCACGTTGTCCCACTCTACCCAGGTATCATTTAATATTTATGTATGCCAGGCTTTTTTAATACACATTTTTTCAATAATGACAATACCTTATTTGGGTAAATAACTAAAAAAAGGATTTGTTATATATATATATATATGTTTTTTTTTTTGTGCGATGTAAAGACGTTGAAGATTTTACCAAATATTCCCCCCGAAGATGAGGATGTTGAGATGAAGGTAGGATGTGTGTGTGTGTAACCCAGGGGTTAGTTGAGGTGACCTCAAAATCTGGATCATTGCAAAATGTATCTAGCCTGGGATATGATGTTCTAAATGATTGCAATCTGGACACCCCCTCCATCTCCATGATCCGAGTGATACAAGAATCCCAGCCTGGGGTATGGAGCACTGAATGATTGCAGTCTGGAACCCCATGATCCAAGTGATGCTAGGATCCCAGCCTGGGGTATGGAGCACTGAATGACTGCAGTCTGGAACCCCATGATCCAAGTGATGCTAGGATCCCAGCCTGGGGTATGGAGCACTGAATGACTGCAGTCTGCAACCCCATGATCTGAGTGATACTAGGATCCCAGCCTGGGGTATGGAGCACTGAATGACTGCAGTCTGGAACCCCATGATCCAAGTGATACTAGGATCCCAGCCTGGGGTATGGAGCACTGAATGACTGCAGTCTGGAACCCCATGATCCAAGTGATACTAGGATCCCAGCCTGGGGTATGGAGCACTGAATGACTGCAGTCTGGAACCCCATGATCCAAGTGATACTAGGATCCCAGCCTGGGGTATGGAGCACTGAATGACTGCAGTCTGGAACCCCATGAGCCAAGTGATACTAGGATCCCAGCCTGGGGTATGGAGCACTGAATGACTGCAGTCTGGAACCCCATGATCCAAGTGATACTAGGATCCCAGCCTGGGTATGGAGCACTGAATGACTGCAGTCTGGAACCCCATGATCCAAGTGATACTAGGATCCCAGCCTGGGGTATGGAGCACTGAATGACTGCAGTCTGGAACCCCATGATCCAAGTGATACTAGGATCCCAGCCTGGGGTATGGAGCACTGAATGACTGCAGTCTGGAACCCCATGATCCAAGTGATACTAGGATCCCAGCCTGGGGTATGGAGCACTGAATGACTGCAGTCTGGAACCCCATGATCGAGCGATACTTCTGAGGCTTTTTTTTTTCATGAATTGAAACGCACCCACCCCACCTGCCTGGAGAGTATTCTAAGGGCCAAAGCCTCCCCTTTTTCCCCTGCGCCCTGGTCCCAGACCAACCCATAGCATATAGTTATAAATGGTCTGTCATATAGAGATGGCAACAATTTGCTTACCCAAGACCTTTACATATGGAAAGCCTGACTTTCGATGCTGGTGAGGGAGAGGGAGAGAGAGACAGGGTCGAAAAAGAACTAGCTTTACCCAAGTAGAACTTCCTGGTGACCAACAGCACCAAGCTGGGTGACCAAACAGGTACCAGAAAAGTCTGGCCACAGACCGGGCTAATCATATCACAGGTAAACCTCAACACAGAGCAAAATATAGCTCGATAAACCTCAACACAGTGAAACAAGGCTTTACGAAGCTCGACACAAGGCAAAACAAGATTTGCTAAAACACTAGGCTGGGTGTAACGTTACTGTGCTAAATACTTGTACTGAACACCTGTCTGTCTCCTCCACCATCTGTGTATACACAAGCAGTTGTTGATGCGCATGTATTAGTTCATGGAGAACACTGAAGTTGCTCCTGGGTATGTGAAGTGTTGGTCTGTACTCTGTATGTGTTAATATCTTGGCCTGTACTCTGCACATATTAACATCTAGGCCTGTACTCTGTACATGATATCTCTGCCTGTACTTTCTGTACATAGACTAACAGTACATATTAACGTCTTGGCTTGTGCTCTCAGTACATTACAGTACACTCCCGATCCCACGCCAAAGTCCACACAAGTTTATATATATATATATATATATATATATATATATATATATATATATATATATATATATATATATATATATATATATATATATATATATATATACGTATATATATATAGATTACGTATAATTTTTTTGATATCAATTCTCTCCTTCATTTTTATAAGCATATCCACCTCAGGAATTTATAAGTAAGTAAAAAGAGCATTGTTCATGTGTACCATTGTTCAAGTGTACCATTTTTATATATATTTTTGTCCCCCCCCCCACTTCAAAAAAAAAACTTGCTGCATCGTTTTTTTTTTTAAACAAGGACTACTGCCAGAGGGCTGTTGTCGACCTGTCGACTCAAGAGGCCAGTCGACACCACCAGTCATTCGTCTAGTTGTATAAATAAAATGTTGAATATGAATGAAAGTTTTCATTATTTTCCTTATTATTATTATTATTATTATTGTTATTATTATTATTATTATTATTATACTTTATCCCTGGCTGTTAGGAGTCCTCACAGAGGCTGCTGAGGGAGGAAGGATACCTGGAGAGGGTTTCAGGGGGTCAACGCCCCCGTGGCCCGGTCTGTGGCCAGGTCTGGGGAGATAGTCTCCGGTTCACACACTAAGAGCTGTTATCCTACCTCATCCTAGTCATATCTTGACTATCCAGCCTTCCTTCCACCGTCCCCAGGGCACCAGCACACGGGTACCTGCTAGCTGAACAGCAGTAGTAAGCAGAAGAACCCTTGTCTCGCCCTGCCCGGGTATCAAACCAGTGCCCCTTCGGTTGCGAAATGAGTGTTCAGTCATTGGGAAGGTCTGAAGTGCTGGGCAGGTATATGCCTACAGCTGGAAAGGTTAGGATCACAACGAGGTGTGAAACCTGTCGGCTACACGAGGTGTCATTAAGACTGCATGCCACCTGTTCACCACCAGTCAAGAATACTTTAATGTCGAAAATAGTGATTAGCGTAAACTCTTGAGTGTATATACACTAAGAGACATGCACTTCTGGGTGTATATATACTGAGAGACATGCACTTCTGGGTGTATATATACTGAGAGACATGCACTTCTGGGTGTATATAAACTAAGAGACATGCACTTCTGGGTGTATATATACTGAGAGACATGCACTTCTGGGTGTATATATACTGAGAGACATGCACTTCTGGGTGTATATATACTGAGAGACATGCACTTCTGGGTGTATATATACTGAGAGACATGCACTTCTGGGTGTATATAAACTAAGAGACATGCACTTCTGGGTGTATATAAACTAAGAGACATGCACTTCTGGGTGTATATATACTGAGAGACATGCACTTCTGGGTGTATATACTGAGAGACATGCACTTCTGGGTGTATATATACTGAGAGACATGCACTTCTGGGTGTATATATACTGAGAGACAGCACTTCTGGGTGTATATATACTGAGAGACATGCACTTCTGGGTGTATATATACTGAGAGACATGCACTTCTGGGTGTATATATACTGAGAGACATGCACTTCTGGGTGTATATAAACTAGAGACATGCACTTCTGGGTGTATATAAACTAAGAGACATGCACTTCTGGGTGTTATATACTGAGAGACATGCACTTCTGGGTGTATATATACTGAGAGACATGCACTTCTGGTGTATATATACTGAGAGACATGCACTTCTGGGTGTAATATACTGAGAGACATGCACTTCTGGGTGTGTATATACTGAGACACATGCACTTCTGGGTGTATATATACTGAGAGACATGCACTTCTGGGTGTATATATACTGAGAGACATGCACTTCTGGGTGTATATATACTGAGAGACATGCACTTCTGGGTGTATATATACTGAGAGACATGCACTTCTGGTGTATATATACTGAGAGACATGCACTTCTGGGTGTATATATAATGAGAGACATGCACTTCTGGGTGTATATATACTGAGAGACATGCACTTCTGGGTGTATATGCACTGAAACGCCTAACGTGTATATATTGATACATATATACCTTGCGATGTGTATAAACACATTGTATATACACTGAGATAAACACCTCTTAGTGTATATACACTGAGACATATACACCTTTCGGTTTATGTACGACGTATAAATACCTTTCGAATATACACCTGGAGGTTATTCCGGGGATCAACGCCCCCGCGGCCCGGCCTATGACCAGGGCTCCCGATGGATCAGGGCCTGATCAACTAGGCTGTTACTGCTGGCCGCACGCAGTCCAACGTACGAGCCACAGCCCGGCTGATCCGGCACTGACTTTAGGTATCTGTCCAGCTCTCTCTTGAAGGCAGCCAGGGGTTTATCGGCAATTCCCCTAATGCTTGATGGGAGGCTGTTGAACAGTCTTGGGCCCCGGACACTTATGGTGTTTTCCCTTAGTGTACCAATGGCGCCCCTAGTTTTTATTGGAGGCATTTTGCATCGCCTGCTCAGTCTTTTACTTTCGTAGGGAGTGATTTCTGTGTGCAGATTTGGGACCATTCCTTCCAAGATTTTCCAAGTGTAGATTATGATATATCTCTCCCTCCTGCGTTCCAACGAGTACAAGTCAAGTGCTTCCAAGCGTTCCCAGTAGTTAAGGTGCTTGACAGAACTTATACGTGCAGTAAAGGATCTCTGTACACTCTCTAGATCTGCGATTTCACCTGCTTTGAATGGAGATGTTAATGTACAGCAGTATTCCAGCCTAGAGAGAACAAGTGATTTGAAAAGGATCATCATGGGCTTGGCATCTCTCGTTTTGAAAGTTCTCATTATCCATCCTATCATTTTTTTTGCACGTGCGATCGTGGCACTGTTGTGATCCTTGAAAGTGAGATCCTCAGACATTACTACTCCCAGGTCCCTTACATTATTTTTCCGCTCTATTGTATGGCCGAGAGTCTGTAGTATACTCTGTTCTAGTTATTATCTCCTCCAGTTTTCCATAACGGAGTAGTTGGAATTTGTCCTCATTGAACATCATATTGTTTACCGTTGCCCACTGGAAAACTTTGTTTATATCTTCTTGGAGGTTAACCGCGTCCTCAGCAGATGACAGCCTCATGCAGATCCTAGTATCATCCGCAAAGCATGATACGGTGCTGTGGTGTATATCTCTGTCTATGTCTGATACAGAGAAACACACCTCTCAGTGTATATACACTGAGATATACACGCGTTTCAGTGTATATACAGATGCATATTTACATTTCTGAGTGTATATACATTGATATAAACATCTTTTTAAAGGGTACATACGCCGAGAGATGTACACCTCAATTATGACCTGACTGAGCTCAGAGCTCATGACCTGACTGAGCTCAGAGCTCATGACCTGACTGAGCTCAGAGCTCATGACCTGACTGAGCTCAGAGCTCATGACCTGTCAGAGCTCATGACCTGGCAGAGCTCAGAGCTCATGACCTGGCAGAGCTCAGAGCTCATGACCTGGCAGAGCTCATGACCTGACTGTTGCATATGTGTCTTACCTAACAACACAGCCAACTCAGGAATTTCCCAAGCATGCAGCAGCTTACGTATAATAGCTGTCTGGGCGAGTAATTGTCACTGCACAATTAAGACTCAATATCCCACTTATTTCTCGCAATTTTAAACTGGTACTTTAAATCCAACACAAAAGACGGTGTATATATATATATATATATATATATATATATTATATATATATATATATATATATATATATATATATATATATATATATATATATATATATATAAAAATCCTAGAAGGAATGGTCCCAAATCTGCACACACAAATCACTCCCTACGAAAGTAAAAGACTGGGCAGGCGGTGCAAAATACCCCCAATTAAAAGTAGGGGAGCCATTGGTACACTAAGAGAAAACACCATAAGTGTCCCGGGTCCAAGACTGTTCAACAGCCTCCCACCAAGCATAAGGGGCATTACCAATAGGCCCCTGGCTGCCTTCAAGAGAGAGCTGGACAGATACCTAAAGTCAGTGACATCATGAGAGGTAATGGGAGCAATCCTATTATCTGTCTCAGTGCTGGAGGCAACGATGTTGGCAGACGTAGGAGTGAGGACCTGATTAGCAGGTATAGGTCAGCAATAGAGATAATTAGGAGGAAGGGTAGGAAACCTGTCATATGTGGC